TTTTATCTAACCTTAATTTAGCCAGAGTAATAATCATAACAATAACAATAAACATTATTAAAATTATCCAAACAACCACATGCTATTATGTATTATCACTGTCGGCGCCCTGCACTTTGGAAAGACAGTGGCAGTTCCCACAACTCTAATCATAATTAAAGCTATACAGTTTCATCCCTCTCAAATTAGCCAACATACAAATATGTCACAACTACCTAAGGGCTAGTTTTAAGCTTACGGCCTGTTTCGTCTGTCAAGTTGAGCAGTGTGACAGCTATCAGACCAAAGGCATGTTGGCCAGTAGGGCGTTTTTTCAGTAGAAATAGTGAGAACCAGCTGATTACAATATATAAGGAACCTGAAAGTCACTAAAGTCACTCAAGTTATTATGAATCAATATCATCTGTATATATATATATATATATATATATATATATATATATATGTACATATAACCTTCACAAAAAAAAATATGAATGGCTTTTAAATGGTATATCACAGTATTGTCTTACAAATAATGTTGATTGTGAGCCCAGATGCTAGCCTCTGAACAAGCATTTTGTTTGTTTGTTTATTTGTTTTTTCTTGTGTGGATTTTGGTGGATTCACATGGCCAGATGGCCAGCTAGTCCTCCCTTGGCTTGGTCTGGCTTGGCTTCCCCTGCAGCTTCCCACCACTCTCATTGGCTCAAGCTAAGGAACAATTAGCAACCCGCTCCACGGGCGGATCCACAGCTGCTGAGGTTGAACTAACTGGATAAAGTAAGAAAATAAATTGTGTTAGGAATGAGGGGGCTTCCTTACAGTTTTACTGTTTTGTGAGCAGCGTGACAATGAGCTCTGAGTGTTCAGTGACCGATATCAATACTGTAAAGGCTTTGTGATGCTCACAAATCTCAGTGGAGACGGGATGAACCAAACATGGAAGCAAACCACTAAAGGACTGTTTAAAAAGAAGCCTTCACTGTGTGTAAAACACACAAATAGCAGATAACAAATTTGAATCATATGCGTTTGATTTTTTTTGGTTTGAAGGTGTGCAACAAACTGTGGTAATTCTTGACACTAAAATTGCACTTTGACACTTAATCATTGCTGACACACCTCCTACTGCTTTTCTTCTCCCTCTTGGGAGCAGTAAATGTCACAGTATGAATCCTGGCCTTGCAGCACACACACAAACACATACACACAAACCTGAGCTCTTCATAAAATAACCATTGGAATACAGAAAACAATACAGAAAACTAACTGATGACACAGCTTCTGTAAGCAAATCTGGGTGTGCGGGTTCTCCTTTAATGAGGGGATAAGAAATGACACACAGTGGACAGCAATGCACACTGAGGGGAGCAAATTGGTCCTGGCAGGGCTTTGTTGTCCCTCTGTGTCTTAATGGGGCCTCATAAGAAAGGGAATCAAGATCAAGGCCACGTCCAGACTGTTTGAACTCCCTGAGTAAATACAGCATGAAGTAATGGTTACGTGTGCTTTAGGTAGCACTTTGCCATAGCATCTCCTGGTGTCACACAGATGTTCTTTTCCAATAGATGACAGATTTATTTATTTATTGACAGTCACAATTTCACACCAGACAACAACATTTCCTTTCAAAGATTGCATGAGGACAAACAGTTGCCTTCAATACATGGACAAGTATTTGAGAGAGAGAGAGAGAGAGAGAGAGAGAGAGAGAGAGAGAGAGAGAGAGAGAGAGAGAGAGAGAGAGATCCTCTTTATACAAATGGGCCAATTACACTGGTCAGAGGTGGAATATCTTGCAGCAAGAGGCCATTATAATGAGTAATTTCCTTTCATGTCACCTGTAATTTGGTGAAGAGGTGTCATTTCTTTTTCATATGGAAATGAATGAGTGTTGCATGTTACATCGGAAAACAACTCCACTTTTTGTTTGTGTGCCTGAAAGATAATGAGACACTCCAGTTGGGGGTGGGCCATGTCGATAAAATTAATAGTGCAATAATTACGGCAGGATTATCAAAACACTCAATTTTAGAATTCCAGATAAAATATTCAAAATAAAAGCACGAAAAGTTTAATTGACATTGAGTCAGAAGATTTTTATTTCTGTGTGTTTTGTGAAAACAAAATTATTATAATTTAAGTATTTGAGTCTATAAAAATATGAGAATTTTGTCAGAAAATGTTTATAAAGAGAGACAGTTATTATAAGCGTCAATAGAATAAAGTATCAGCCTTACACAGCAGGGCCAGCTGCATCATCTCTTATCAAGAGAAAGTTTGCTAAATAACTCTCTGCATGAAGCTGCAGACTAAGTATAATTAAAAGAGGCAATCAAACAGACTGTGGTCTCTGCAGTTTTGTTTAAATTAGTCAATGAAAAGCAAACTTGTGGAAGACCTTTAAGGAGATGCTTCATACAGTACTCCCACAGATACACACACATCCCCTCACAAGCTCAGACAAAAGGGGAAAGAAATTATCATAAGTCATGTTGGGGATGTGTTAAAGGGGCATGAAAAAAAATGAGTTTCAATATTAAAGCCTATTTCACAAATGCACCAGCAGTTCATACGAATTAGAGAGAAGTTATCTGCTGCTCCTAATTACCAGAGACAGATTGAGATGAGATTATTCCGCACACTAATCTGTGTTGTGAAGTTCCAGTGAGAATAATTTGGCGGAGATGGATAAAGCTACTCTGAAAGGTTATTCCGAGGGGCATGCAGTGTGTGCCTCTTAGGGCCATTAACTGCAAAGGCTTTTAAATGATAAACCAGGGGAAAAAGGGAGGCAGTGATTTATTACAAAAAAGCTACAGTTTCTTTGCACTTCATGGCACATTTTTCTCCAGTCTCATCCCTTTTGATGAAAGTGTAGATTACAATCGTGATCCTGTGGTTTCAAATTGATTTATCCTGCCAGTGAACATCAAATGACTGGTTCCCTGCTGAGAAAATTACACATACATCGTCCATCTATGGGCACAATTTAACACTTCTTTATCAGTCATGTCAGTTTAGCATTACTTAACAAATAAATGTGAAATCTAAAAATTTCTGCCAAATTTCTGACGAACCAAGCCTCAAATAAAAAGAGGAAGAAGTTCTAGGCTAAAGTCGTCAACAGATATTTTCCACATCTAGTCAAACTGGTCCAAACGGCCTTGTGTACTACAAAACATGACAGTCAGACTCACAGTCGTGTTTAGTCCAGATCTGACATAATTTTTGGCCATGGCAGGCGGATACAGATACAGCTCTAGAGCTTCCAGTGAAGATCGAGACACATGCAAGTCATCACGGAGGAAAGCGCAGTCATGAGGTAGAAATTAAACGCTCACTGAGGTTCCTGAAAGCAGTGCTTCCGCTTAATAAATGTAATAACTGAGTAAGTGAGGCAGCCAGTCACACTGAACAAAGGCTCCATGAGGTAGCGCTTTGTCTGTGAGCTGTCACTGCAGCATGCCTGCTGAGGAGTACAACACAATGGAGAGATTCCTGGTCTAGTTCTTGTATCTGCCACTTCCCATCAGATAAAAAAAAATGCTGGATGATACACACAGACTCAACCGGTTCACAGAGCTGCTGCACTGCTGTAATATTTGTACCTATACCAGGATATCGTCGCTTACATGCTGAGCCCCTGCAAAGCGGCACAAGCCTGTAGTTTGACAACTGTGTATCTCAGTTGAAAAAGCTGTGTATTCTTTCTTTAAACAGAGACACAGACTTTCCACTCTTAGCTGCGGCTTTCAGTGAAATCAACGTCCCGTTTGGTCACAGTTTGGAAAAAAAAAAGAAAAAAAAAAGACTTTTTTGTGGAGAGGAAGACTAAGCAAACACCAAACTTAAAAACGGGTAAACACCATTCACAGACAGAGCCTTTTAACGACTGAATGTTGAATCAGCTATAAATACACAGCTATGTTATAATTGTTTTCCTCTGCCATCTAAACCAATGAGCCTAGAGGTCCACTGCGGTACACTGATGGACCACATCACTGGGAAAATGCACTGTACCTCAGAGCCTGGGCGAACTGCCTGTTGAATGCAGAACTGCCTCAGCCAAAACACACAGAACCAACTTGGTGCGCTGCTCTGCTTGCACAGTGTGTGTGTGTGTGTGTGTGTGTGTGTGTGTGTGTGTGTGTGTGTGTGTGTGTGTGTGTGTGTCTGTGTGTGTGTATGTGTGTGCAGTAGGCCCTCTGGATATAGCTATGGCAATATTTGAGAGCGCAACTATATATCACAATGTCGGGCAAAAGTAAATCATTACAGCTGTGAATTGCTGAGGTGAAACTGTTCAGGTGCTGCTGGAGTTATGAATGAAACATTTACTCCCATTGTGGCGGCAAGAAGTGCTTCAGTTCAGGCGGATGAGAGCTACACAAAGCTATGAAACAATCCATAGTAAACACAATGTGCTGCCTATTACAGGAACTAGGTTACCAGCCGCTGCTCTCCACAAACACTCTGTTATTGTGTTGTAACTGTGGGAAGACGCATTTATTGAAACAAAAGTGTAATCACTAATAACAGCAGCTTGTTGTCTGGAGCCTTTTCAACCTCTGCAGTCCAGTTATGACACTGTCAATACTTGAGTCAATACGCAACTATGTCTCTTACAGTTTGAGCTCACATACAACCTCCTTGCAATGAAGCTTCTTCTTTTCTGGTCTTTTCAATCAGACTTGACTAATATAACCAACCCAATGATCTTTACAACAATCTTTACTAAGCCTAACCCTACTGTATAAATCAAAACCTGACAGTGAGCATTCGCAGATATTATCATTACAAAGGTTTTGTCTGATTAGAAATGCAGGTGTCCTAATTATTTATGCCAAACAGTCACATGTGAACTGCTGCAACAACAGCTGCTCCTCTGTCTGATCTGATCTGTGGACCTCCACAGTGCATCATCTAAATAACATTTTGGTCACTATAAAAAAAACAAAAAAACAAAGAAAAACACATGATGGCATTTAAAGATAAAATATATAAAAATGACTTACCAGGCATAAACTGCTGAGTAGTGAGATGAGCAGAAAGTCCAGATTGTGGAGCAGCAGAGCGGATCCCATCCCTGACCTGAGGCAACTCTACCTCCAAGAGTCCTTGCAGGGCTCGAACAGACGCTGATGATGCTCAGATGAAATTATTTAATCTACTTAACTCTCTTCAAAGTAGAGAGAGTTGTGTTTTTTTTTACTCCATCTGGCCTCTCGATGCTTATGGCGGCTTGTGAAATCATAACTCTGTAATCGCCTCCACTCTGCCCTCGATTTAATTTCCTATAATCTACTATACGCTCAGGCTCAGCCCGCTCTCTGTATTTCTCTGCATCTGTCTTTTTTCCTCTTCTGAAATTACATCCACATGTCAGAACTATTTATGTCGCTCTCGTTCTGCGGTGGGAAGTTCAAATGATTCTTTGTAGGGAAGAAACCAACGCTGTATTTTTAGGTCTTTTAAATTTCCCCTCAGACTAAAACTTAAACACTTCAGTATGGAGCTGTGCGCCTTATGGCTTATTCCAGTCCTCTCTTCCAAATGTTAGATCAGTGTTGGGCTGAAAAAAAAAAAAAAAAAAAAAAAAAAAAGCCCGAAATGTGTCACTCCATCACCAGTCGCTGTTGAATTTCACAATTAGATTCCCTCTGACTCATGTCACCATCAACGCAGTCATCTAGTATATCGTGCAGGCGTCAGTGAACCAGCAGGATCTCACTCACACTTTTTTTTTAAGCGTCTAGCTGTAAATAACAATCTTGCGACAGAGCAGAGCGTGAAATTTTAAAAAATAAAAATAAAAACAACTTTTGATAGATTTGTCTACTTGGTCTGTGTGGACTCAGTCAACGCGCTGCTGCACTTCACTTTCCTTTGGTTACGCGTCTCTCTTTGCTCATTAATGGCAACACAACATGGAAATCTGTCATTTATGTTATTTCCTGAAATCCTGTTCAACTACAACACAAACTAGCGTGGCAGTTACACAGCAACTGAATGTATGAAACTCCCCAAACGGGCTCTTGTTTTCCAAATGCTGATGTAAAAAAAAAAAACGAAAAAAAAAAAAAAAAAAAAAAACCGCTTAAGAGCAGAGAGAAAACGCCAACTTGGCTTCAAGAATCTCTACTTACTATCAAGAGAGAGCCAAACTCGCCCTGACGGTCAGATCACTCGCAAACGCCTGAGTCTTTCTGCACACAGCAAAAGCAAAAGTTGAAGTTTCTCGTGTTGGGAAGCGTCTCCAGATGTGGCAGGCGGCAGGTCGTGTTCACTAGTGAGTATGTGGATGGAAAAGGGGAGGGGGGGCGGCGGAAAGGAGGCAGGTAGGGTGGAGCGTAAAAGCCTCTCATTGGTGCGCACTCTCTTACGTTGGAATAAACCACGACTCCGAAATGACATATTTTCTCACCCCTCAAACAAACTCCACATTGAACAGATCGCAGGGCCTTTGCCAAACCACTTTTTTCCCCTGCAGTTTCTCAAAAGTTGCATCTAGTAGGATTAGATTACCGAGACATAATGCAGAAGATGCTCGTTTTTTTTTTTTTTTTTTTTTTTTTTTTTTTTTTTAATCTCAGGTAGCCTACCATCTGCTGCTTTTCTGTAATATGCATTAAGGCACAGGAAGCGTCCGCAGATTTCTCTGACAGCTTTTAAACGTGTCGCCCTGTTTGGAAATTAAACTGTGCTATAATTTGCCATACAGTGCTGAATGTATGAACTGTCCCAGAGCAGTAAGAGAAGAAGAAGAAGACGTGTTTTTCAACGCCAATATATGGTTTCTGACACTTCTGATCCTGACCTATTTTAGATATAAAGAAAATAATAATAATGGTAGTAATAATAATAATAATAATAATAATAATAATAACCAACTTACGTTCAAATTTCATCATGTTTTCCACTGATCTCATTAAACCCAATAAATGGATATTGACCAGAATGGTGAATAAAGCATTGTTATTACACCAAATAAGGAAATATAACTCATTTAATGGACAATATATATATTTATTTTCTTTGTCAATAAGTAATTTCTAGACAAAGAAACGATCCTGTCCTATCCTACATAGTGATGTTTTTGTTGGAGGTCAATTAAGTCTAATTCTGTGTGTGAGCACTTGCAGCACACACAATTTGTGTGCAAAAGTGTGTCCATGCAGGTGTGTACACATTCATTTGGGAGGAGTAGTGCGGCTTAAAAAAAAAAGTTCTGTCAACAACAATTACAGATACAGAGCATATGGATATCTAATGTATTTAACCTTTTTTTTTTTTTTACAGCTTTCTGAAATATGTTAATAGTTGAAAATCATGTGTATAAGAAGTTCTGTGATGTATCAGGTTGATAAAGTTGACCATGTTAAGTGTGTTTTTTGAGCCGTTATAGTTCATCCTTTTGTTGTATAAAGCAGGTAGTACTGATGTTCCCATTTAAAAAGTACCTTTCCTGATTCTGAAGCAGCTTTGAGGCCAGCAGTCAGTCTGATGTCCTCTGTAGACCAACTCAGGTGTGAAGATGTGTTTGAATATAAAACTGATTTTTCTCAAAATAGGAGACAGAAACATGTTTTCAATAAATTCTGCACTTATTTGGTAGAAATCATTGACAGTAGCCTGCAGTACTATCTCTAAAATAACAATATGTATAACCAGAGCTGTTAATTCTTGCAGCTATTATACTCTAACAGCCAAGAGGACAACAGAGTTTTTTACATGATTGGTGAACAAGCTCTTAACTGTGGCAATATGAGTGAAATGTTCCAGCTATCAAACCATGCAGGGCCATCAGCTATGATAGCAGAATAATTGTGTAATTCAGTAATCACCTCACAGACTGTCTGAAATACTGCACACACTGCATGAGCAGCAAAAAGAGACACACTGAAAATAGCTTTAGTGTAAAAGCTTTCACTGCGGACACAAAATGATGGACTGCTGTTGTGCACTGAGACAACATATGCGTAATCCAACAAAGAGAATAATGTTTCAGCATCAAAGTCATAACCTGCCATATGTTACTGCCACACAGAGAGTGGAGATTTGATACAAAAGCCATTCCTCTACAGCGTCATTCATCCTTAAGTGGAATCTCATGTTGTTGACAGTAACGATCACATGATATGACAATATCAAATTCTAACTCATTCATTATATGTGCTGTTATAGTTGAGGATGCACATCTCGAAAGATATGAGAGCTACATGCTCAAAATGATTTAAATAGTAATAACCAAGATATTTTTACTGATATAGGCCACAGCAGGATTGCTATTATTGTTATTTGCTTATGAAATTGAATTACCATAATGAGTGAAAGAGCAATACTATTGGCTGCTCTGTGTATAAGGATGGATATCATTCTAACATAAATAATATGAATACAGTGCAGCAACAATGTTATGATGAACTATAAAACACTACAAAAGTTTGAGCATTAAAGGTGCTATTTGTAAGTTTTTGTTATTGCTACATAGCCAACGTTAGCATTAACAGCTGTTTACTTACCAGTCTAGAAGAAACGCTGTGAGTTCAGCATCAAAGTTCATTCCTTTACTCACCAAGAGCTGTCTCCAGTGGTGAACAGCAACCATATTTTTTTGCTTCTTATTCTATCACTTCTGTTCTTCAAGTGAAGTTACCATGCTAACCAGCTAGCACGTCTCATCACTTTCTGATACCGAGTCACTGTAGCGTTCAGTCTGTCCTGAAGAAGTCGCACTGCTCTGAGGACATAATATCACCTGTCTTATAAACACAACGATGGCTGACGCTTTTAGTAAGACTGGTAAGTAAACAGCTGCTAACGCTAACGCTGGCTATGTAGCAATAGCAAAACAAATAGCTCCTTTAAAGTTTATTCTTGACCTTTTTTATGGAATAATTTTGACTCAAGGTTCACTGCTTCTCCAGAGATGTCAAAAACACCTCAGCAGATGGACTTTGCTCAGTCTGTTCAGGGGATCTTTATTTTTTATATCTTAACAAATCCGATGAAGAGACCAGAAGCAACAATGTGTTACTTTATCTCCCAGTGACATCTCACTTCCCCCTGTGATACTCTGCCCCAATCCATTACCAAAGACATGAATCTTTGAAAACAGGTCATACATGTTTTCAGCTATTTTAATAAAAAGGGTAAATCATTTTCTAAAACAGCTGGGCTCTGTACAAGACTGACTAAAACTAAACTAAAGGTAATTAATGGTGATTTTTTATTTAGGGAATGATGACTTACATGATGAAATTGTCTTGACTGTTGATACACAGTTAGTACAGTATACAGTATATTCTGTACTTAAAAAATGAAGCATAAAAAAACAATTCAATTGCTTATGTTGTATTGTGTATTTGATTTCAACCTGTTGCTGTATTGCTTTGCTCAGTAAATCCAAGACAGAAGCACAAACGGAAACATAATGATGTGTTTTTTTTTTTTTACGTTAATGCATAAGAATCATTTAGTACCAGTATGAAAGTAGCACCTGCCTCACCAGCTTGTGTACAAACAATCTTCATGTTGTGAAACACGCTACTCAGAATATTGATGTTTAATATTTCCACTTCTCTTTTTTCCTTCCCTTTTAAAACTCTGTGCATGCATCTTCCTGAGGTCATGGTATTACTGTGAGAATATCCTCCTTAATCAGCTGAGGCTTCAGTCCCATCATGAATAAGTTATTCCTGGGGTGAGAGATAATGAACAATATGAAAGCTGTCATAAACAAACAGCCAGGAATGAGACATGTGACCATATACTTGCTCATCCAACATGCAGAAGGTTGCACCCCACTGTGTCTCAATGGGGAACTCCAACTAAGCTGCAAAAGATTAACAGGGAGAGACCGGGTTCATGGCATATGCTTGATAGTCACTCAATTTCCAATCTGTCAGGTTTTTCTTGTGTCACTAAAAAAAATACCTTTGCACCTTAAAGTCAGTTACTGTATAACTATCCCTAGTTATGGCACTTATCTGTGGCTATGGAAATCTTCATTTTTTACCTCATAAACACACCACCTCTCATCCTTGAATGATTAATGTCCACCTGTAAGTATCCCAAGTGCTTGGCGAATGCCATCCATTGCTGGCCACAAAAC